CCCTGTTTTTCTATAGGAAAAGAGACGATTTATGAAAAACTTGAAGGAGAAGTTGCATAAAACTATAAATAGAAAATGACGTCTAAACATGAAATTATTCAAAGGAAGTAGCCAGCAGTGCTTCCCAGTGCCAATGTAATTAAACATAATAATAGACAGATTACAAACATGACACTTCTGATCGATCTCTTTGAAGTACGGTATTGATAATAATTTGATCAAGATACTGAATTTTTTAAAATGCTATTAACTGTATGGCAGAGCGTTCTCGAATGCTATTTACTGTTTGGCAGAGTGACTTACATTATACGAAACTTGAGATCAAGATACTAATGTGAAAGTTGTAGTGCGAAGAGTCGTTTACTTACTGTTCTCGTATTATGAGTTGTTGAACTTTGACCTTAATCATATTAGCTCAATCAACATCAGTCCGCAAAAGAAATCAAATGTTCTTGCGAGAGAGGTTAACGCATGTACAAATTTCAAATTTGTTCTACTATTTTTGATCCAGTGGAATGTTCAACTGCAAACGCAAATGCACACAAAGTGTTCACACAGAAATGCAATAACAAAAGCGAAAGGACAAAACGCTCTTGTTGACTCTCACCTTTTCGATTTTCCCAATTTATAACTACAGATCAGCCACCGACGCAATGATTACAGGACCACTGTTTAACGCCAGACACTCGCTGCTTCCCCTAGATGATGAAATTGTAGATGGCTTCAAATGACACACCGTTTTACTTTCGCCACTGGGAGAGAGGAGCTTCTTCAATAGGTCTATGTCGCTCTGAATTCGTTGACGAAGCCAGCGAAGTTTCGAAAGACAGTTTCTTTTTCGTTTGTCTTATTTCCTTGACATGTTTTCGTCCTGTCCTATTTTTGTACTGAAATGATCTTCCTGCAAGCGCTGCACCAAGAATTAATCGCTGTTTATTGACAAGTTCACAACAAACAGTCTGACGGATAAACATCCAGTGCACGCTAATCAAACAGAGCTGGCTCTTTTCTTAATTTCTAAAGATACCAAAGGCACGTTTTCCTAAATTCACGATAATTCTTGAAGAAGAGAACGTCAGTCAAATTAAAAGGGAATTGAGCAATCCCATTGTTTTAATGTTATTTTCAGTTTGTTTTAGAGTATGAAGCAACAACTCGAAGCCAAAGAAAATGAAACTGTTAAAAACTTCACGGTTTTTGCGCGTTAGATATTATTATTATCCGTTTCCGGCTCTCTCTTCCCTGACACTATTTTCTTTTCTCCTGCTGTGGTCTACCTTCCCCTGTTAGTCTGAAGCGGAAAACGAGACAACAGCCGGCCGGGTTTTCTAGTTTTCTAGCGTGCAAAATATAAAAACAAGGCGTCTCATTCCCCGCGAGAAGGGAAACGTGGCGTGCGTAAGGCGCGGGGCGGGAACTGAGGACAGGCAATCTATTCAACTGTGCGCAGCGGAGTGTCTCTTTCCGGTTTGAACAATGGGAATCCTGGGATGGACCATTAAACACAGTTGTTCTTTAATACCTCACCATGAGCTGTTCAGGTCCGGCTGATCATAAGCACTGTACAGTCACCGCCTGGAATAGATCAATTATAGAGATGCGAGACACTTATATTATCCACTAGTCCAAGAATTATGTGGGCAGACACTGCTGAAGCCCACGCTCATTTTATTCACAACAAAATAATCTGTTTTTTATATTCCTTGCCACTTCCCAGGGTGTGGCAGATTCATACCCCCCTGTGGCATTTTCATTTTGTTGAGAGCAAGTGTAATTTGAGGCGTCTGAAAAATTTATCGTTTGATTGAAGTAGCCACTGTTCAGAGAGGAATCTTATCTCGTTTACCATCCCTGATCGGTTGAAAGTTTCGATTGGACTAAAGAGTCCTCAACGATTGGTAAATCCCAGGGGGATCTCAGGTGGTGTAGGGCGCTGTAACGTAAAATCACGATCTCTTTTCTCTTAGTGACTCGAACAGTGTGACATGTAAATGTTGTAATATATACCTTTTATAAACGAAATGGGTGTCAGTTTATACAGAGCTTTCACGATCGACCAACTGTGCGCAGTTTTCAATCAAAATTAATAGTATTGGTATGAATCATCTGGGTTTTTTTTTCTGTTTTCTCTTTCTTCCAAAGCCAACTATCTCCCCATTTCGCTTCTCGTGTGCGAGTACAAACGTCTCGATTTCTATTCTTCTTTATTAATTGCTCATAGCGGGGGAAATATTTGAAACTGTGAGTTCTCTTTGTTCTAAAGTGCTGACACGTTTATGCTTCCTTTCACTTGTCTTTCCTTTTTTTGTTTTTTCTTATCAATAACGGTTGTTATTTCGTGTGTTATCTTACTTCACAACACTATGCAAATTACCCCATTTCAAAACGAAAACGTTATCTATGAAAACGTGAAAATAATCTGTCTGTCTCATTAATCACATATCGTTGATTTAGACTGTGCTGTTGCTGGTTTTTTGTTTGGGGTGGGTGGGGGGGGGGGGGGGTTGTTTTTTATTTAATGTGGGCATGTGTGTCAGTGTTTAATTTTTTTGGTTTTTGTTCGTTTTGTTTTGTTTGTGTTGTTGTTGTTTTTGTTGATTGATGGATTGATTGATTGACTGATTGCTGGATTACTTGATTGCTCGATTGCTTGCTTGCTTGCTTGCTTGCTTGCTTGATTGACCGATCGATTGATCGATTGATTGATCGATCGATTGATTGATTGATTGATTGATTGATTGATTGATTGAGCGAGCGATCGATCGATCGATTGATTGATTGATTGATTGATTGATTGATTGGTTGATTGGTTGATTTGTTGATTGGTTGATTGGCTGATTGGTTGATTGGTTGATTGGTTGATTGGTTGATTGGTTGATTGGTTGACTGACTAATTGGTTGACGTATTTTTTTATAAAATTTATTTGTTAGCTACATTTCTTCTCTTTTTTACTTTTATTGCTATTTTTAACTATTAGTTAAAAACTGTTTTGTTCCATTTTTTAATTAAAAAAAAAAAAAATTTTTTTGGGGGGGATACTGGTTCGTTTGTGTATGAGGGTCACAGTGTGCAAAGTGAAACATTTTTGTGTTTAAAAATAATTAGCATTTTTCAATAGTTACAAAGGCTCAGAAAATCATTAGTCTCCCCTATTCTACTTCAAACGCAAAATTTGGGTGAAAGTTACTGCTTTAGTCGTCAGGAAGTCCATTTTCTTGTTCTTGTAATTGCTATGAAGCGCAAAGTGTCCTGTACATCTCAGAATCCTTGTCTTGATTCGACTCTCACTCCCTTGAGTAGTGGATGCTCGCTTTTACAGCGCGTGCACGTGCGCGTGTGTGTGTGTGTATGTGTGTGTGTGTGTGTGTGTGTGTTTGTGTGTGTGTGTGTGTGTGAGAGAGAGAGAAAGAGAGAGGGGAGGGGGGGGGCAGAAAGAGAGAGAGAAAGAGAAAGAAAAAGAGAGAGAGGATGTATCTGTTTATGTTTTTGCATTATGTGTAATTGGTGTGGGACACGTGAACAGACATAACGGTCTTGAACATCAAACTCTCACTGGCGAAATGGAAGGCAACCGAGGCAGGGGTGGGCCCAGAGAAACCTACTGTGTGAACCAAAACAGAGGGGTAAAAAGGAAAAGATCAGGGTAACGTAGCTTTTTAAAGAGCATCCGAGCTAAGGAATGCATGGAGAATCTTGATCGCCGACGTCTGCCGTAGATCTGGCACTTGATGATGATGATGATGAATAGGTGCCTGCATGTGTGCCAGTGCTTACTTATCAAATTCAATAAAACAATACAAACACTGTGAAAAAAATTAATACGATCCTGGCTTGTTAAAGGGTGTCTTTCTCTGAGTCTGAGTGTCATAGTATGACCTTATGCAGTTGCGAGCGCCGTAAAACCTCTACTAAAACTAAGCTGAGTGTTTTTCTATTTACCTGCCTTCCCTTTTCCTAACACTAAATGTGAGGCAGCGTGGTGGAATCAGGCTCTCGCCAAAATAATCAAAGTGAAGAAACTTGCATTTTTCTGCAGGTTTTTGCATTTTTATCAAATTTTTGTTTTTTGGCTCAACACCTTTCAAGCCCATTAAAGAACTCATTTATGCGTGGGTGTTTCTGAAAAAAAGTTGATTAAAGGCACAAAAAATGTAAATTTTCAGTTACCACGGACTCTTAAGCTAAGGAAATAACTAATCTTTGACGGCCATTTTCTCACTAATTTTACCTCTGAAAACAGGTGACCCCCATCTCATTCATTCGCAAATATCTCGACTTGTATTCAAGATAAATGGATCATCCAAATAAAGACAAGTGAACAAGCTTTAAGATGATTTCAATAAACTCTACATGCCCAAAAATTGACGAGAGCCTGATTCCACCACGCTGTCTCACAAATGACAGATCGATGTACTTCTCTTTACTCCGAGTAACGTAGGAATCTGACGGAATTTTATGAGGAGGAAGCCTGACAGGGGTAGGGGGGGGGTAGGGGGGAGCGTAGTTGTTATCGTAATCGGCGTAATCCACCATAAACCCACGTGATTTTATATACTGTGTTTAATCAGCATCTGCAGCTAAAGCCTCGCCATCGTAGTGTCAGTTGTGTTGGGTGAAGCAAGTACATTCTCAGTCAACTCAAACAGGAAAGGGGGGATTCTCGTAGCCTAGAGGTTAAGGTGTCCGCTTCTCATTCAAAAGTCCCGGGTTCGAATCATATGACCTAATGGAGTTGCGAGCGCTGTAAAAAACTTATTATTTAAAAAAAAACACGAGAGGTTTTTAGTAGAAAGTTAACATAAAAACGCATTGGAACTATCTGAGGAAGAATTTCAAAAAGAGCGATATGGTTTCTTTTCACATATATAGTCACCCATCAAGTATAATGTATAAACGTATGGTAGCCTAAAATATTTTATTATTATATTTTAGAGAGACGATTTAGCAGCGCCTTCACACCCCCCCCCCCTCCTCCCTATCCGAGAGAATATTTTTATTTGCCTCCTTTTTCTCTTCTTCCTCCTCATCCTCTTCCTCTCCTCCTCCTCCTCCTCCTCCTCCTCCTCCTCCTCCTCCTCCTCCATCAACACCATTATCATCAACGACGCCACTTTATCTATCATTGCTGCCTTTATAAATACTTACATAACAATGTATTTGGGGACATGTTTTTACGAATTAATAGTTTGTGCTCCACGAACATGTCTGTCAATACCCTATGCTACGGATCATTGGCTGTTTTAACACAAAAAAGCTATTTAAGAAGCATGATCTAAAAATGATATTGTGTCCCTTTCCGGTAGTGGCAAACCAAAAAATATGCAAAATATGAAAACTCAACCAATTAAAAAAATAAATAAATGAATAAATAAATAAATAAATAAAAAACTATACCCAAGCAACCCAAGTTCACGAACGACACATTACAGGCTCGAGCAACTTAACTGTCATCTGAACTAAAGCCGGTCCGCTTTTAAGGACAAGCGGGCTAACCCAGATTTCGGGGGTTTCCAGAAATCTTGACCTACACCAAAGGTTGGCATTGCTCTACCTATAGGAGAAGTTTGGTATCATTGTTGGGTATATTTGTTTGGTTATAGAGAAAACTCTCATTGTCTTTTAAAGAACTGAACAAGGGGCAAACAACTTTTTCCTTCGACTTTCTCAAAATAGCATTTTTCGGGAAAGCCCCCTTGTGCTTTACAGCGACCAATTATTGTCCAAGGTTAGACTAGCTGACCTGACGGTGTGTTCCTAAGGCTATTAAGTACGAGTCAGTACCTTTACGTTTGTTCACTAGCCTAAATACAAAGCTAGGGTGACCTGTTAGGTAACTTCAAATTATGGTATAAAACCGTTTCATACTTCAGATCAATTCAAACTTGTTAACGCGATAAGGAGTCTATAATGTTTTAGATTTAACCTTTCTGTACGCAATGGGATCAATTTGTACCCCCGGGTTGTGTTCTTCATGTTTTAGAATACTTCTAGTACGAAGATCTCTTTGAAACTTTCAGTATTTCTCAAAAAATCACTTTGACAGACTGCTATGCAAAGCGTAGGTCTTCGGGTCGGATTAACGAGTAAATTTCCTCTTTGAAAGTGGTGGCAAAGAGTTCCCCACGTCGTATGCATACGATAGTAAAACACGATGTACGGATAGGGTTATAAATATGAACATGTTTCTGTAAGGATAACTTTTGTTTTCTGGTGACAGGGGCTCTCCGTTACCCTCTGTTGATAGCGTGCAAGGTTATGGTTCATTGAAAAATAACACTGTTCTATTTTCTACTTCCACTACAGAATATCTTTAGTCTCATTGGCCATGTGTTGGTTTTTTGCAGCTGAGGATACACAATTAAATTCATTTCGGCACTGCTACATGGTATAACAAAGTGTTTAATTCAACACAATATTATTATGCCCTTTGTGATAAATATAA